ATCATCATCATCATCATTATATTATTATTATTATTATTATTATTATTATTATTATTATTATTCCTCTGCTTGTTCTTCTGCGTTCCCTTGCTGGAGCTCAGGGGGAAACTGACTGTATCTTAATCTCACAGTGCAGCTGCTTTTCAAGCACATGGCCTTTTAATCCACGAAGGGAGCAGAATTATTCCTTGTCCCGACATAAAGCCACGTGCCGCATTCGAAGGTACTTTTGATATTGATACTTTAAACCTTACTGACTAGAGTGGCTTTAGTCTTAGGCAGGAATTATTAATAACTATATAAATTTTCCCGGACGGCAGCCCAAGAGATATACTTTATTCTATTTTAGAACCGCAAAGGGATCTTTAGTGTGCGAAACTTCCACATGGGAACCCCTAAATGTTTCGTCCTTTTTCAAGAGGACTCTATCTATGCTCAATCCTATCTACCCTAGGATCAGCAGGTGCGGAAAACATCATTAGCAAAACTCCGAGCAGATGGAGATCGAACACCCAGCATCTGGATTCATAATAATGTTGAGCTGCTGAGCCCCCTTTATCAAACTTCATATCCTGCTAAATCCAGCGGTCGTGCATTTGATAAGAAGCACCTACGATGAAGTGTAGAATGTGAAATTAAAAAAAAATTCAAGTACATGTTTTAGGTATGCTTCCAACCTAGACATTATACAATAGAGATATATGTACATGTGCTTTCTAAAGATCTGAACAGATTTTCTACAGTTCAAATCCGGTTGATGTACTAAGTACTCAGTGGTATGTTTCTTGGAAACCTCAATCAACGCTTCCTCGTAAACATTATTTTAATTGTCCATGACGATACTGACAAGGACCTTGGTACATGTATAATATCTGAATTGCAGTTGCTGTTGAAAATTCAGTTTACATTACATTACATTTGCTGCAATACTTTTTAAAAATAGATAAAACACAAAGTACGTATTTTAAATAGCTATCACTGACATGAAAGCAAGAGACGGGGCTCTCGTGGCCTAGAGGTTAAGGTGTTCTCTCATTCAAAGGTCCTGGATTCGAATCCGCGTAGCGACGAAAACATTTTCTTCTATAAAATTGTCTCATCTTTTATCCTTCTCTCTTGCAATATTCTATCGTCTGCTTTCGTCTCCACTTTCTTCCCCCACCCCCTCATTTCCTTTGCCCCCTCCACTGGGCTCCTGACTTTTTCTGCAGCCTTTCTACTGCAACTGCTTGGCTCCTTCTTACTGCTGTCTTTCAGCCACACCCCTGATCTTCTTGTAGGAAAGATCTACACTTAGCCTTCTCGGACAACGGCCAAAAATCTCGGACGTCCCATGTGCAAGTTGCGCATGTTAAAGTTAAAGATCCCTCGGTGGAACAAAATCGATGAGTAGGCGCTTCGGCCGCCACTCGGGCAAAATTCAAAATTTCCTAACAAATGAAAATGTTTGGTACATCCCGCGCGCTCATAAGACCTTATGCAAGTTGCGAGCACCGTAAAACACTTACCAAAAAAGACAAAAAACAAAAAAGCGAGAGAGAGAGAGAGAGAGAGAGAGAGAGAGAGAGAGAGAGAGAGAGAGAGAGAGAGAGAGAGATCTGGAAATCTGGAAACTTTTTTTTAATGAATAAATAAATAAATACCACCCAAGAAGTATCACGTAAACACAAACAATTTATTCACTGGATAAAAATAGTTTATTCAAAATATAACATATAACCACACAGTGAACAAGACACTGGCACAAATAGTTGACAAGCCCAGTGAAAGAACACTGTCTGTGATTTTCTATCGTGAAAAAAAAATCTGATTCATCAAAGCATTGAAGGCCTGGTATAAAACAGAAAAAACAAAAAACAAATTCAAATACACTGCAGTAAAACGTGAAAAATCTTTCAATTAACTGTCAAAGCGCTCGTACAATTGTCTCACCTTGTCAAAAAGTGAACACACATACATGCATGAGATCTTGTACTCTCAGGCTGACTAAATTTGCAAAACAAATTATCAATAAATTATCATATCAACCAAAGTCCAATGTGAAAATTCAATATTGATTTTTATCAGAAACTTAATAAATTTCAACATCATGAAAGACCTACATAAAAAGTAGGTAATTTCAAAAGCATAATGACACATGATTGAGAGGTAAAATATTCCTGGAAAGTGGAAAGCGTTTTTAAAATCCAGACGCCACTCCTATTTAAACCCCCAAATTTCACATCCAGACCAAATCTCCCATTATTGTACTCTCCATGCATTGGTTGTATAAACATTGCACTAAACATGTTACATAAGACAAAATTATCATACAAATAAGTAAACACAATCTGCATTTCCTTTGATGAAGGCAGAATAATATTTTTTTTGCTATCTAGAAAGTCATTAAAAAATAGCATCAAAACACTACATTTCATCTTGAGTACATGTATTATGTTATCGCAAAAACTTTCCTTATACATGTAATTCCAATTTGATATGCTTGTTCAGAAGTACTAGGCCTTGGTCAAGGGACAGTAAGTCTGAATGAATAACTTATCAGTATCAGTCCGTGAACAAGTAAGGACAAGTGGGCTGACCTAGATTTCGATGATTTCCAATTTCCAGGAATCTTTACCTACACCAAAAGTGGGCATTGCCCTACTTATAGAAGTTAGGTTTCATTGGTGGTATATTTGTTTCGTTATAGAAAATACTCTCCTCGTTGTCCAAAGAAACTAAAGACTTGAAAGTTTTTTATGGGCTAACCAAAAAAAATGTCCGACACCTCAAGTGAAGAGTTCACTGCATGTCACAGTAGAAAATGACCCCAAAGACTGCGATATTCTCATATCAGGTCAGTTTTTTTAAATCAATTTTTTCTTTACTGTATCAGTTTTTACTTGAGTACTGTTCCACACAATAATTCCAATCTTTTGATAGAAAAAGCTTAAAACGTAGTGCTCACATGAACAGGCTAGACCACTTAACCCAATGATAAAGAGTTGACAAGTTTCGTGGGTTAGCCCATTGTACAGCGGACAGATCTAGACCATTTGTATATATTCAATGCAGGAATAGTCCAGATAGAAAGGTATGCCTTATTTTGGATGGGATGGCCCATTTCGCCCCCCCAATTTGCTTTAAAGGTGTTTTCTGCATATCTGCAGAACTGAGCCAATCCAACTTTTTGTTGTCTAATTTCTTTTTAATAGAGTAAATTATTGTCAGTAATTCATATGTGTATGGCAGACAGGGACATAACTGACTTGTTTATGCAAAACCACAGAAAAATTCCCTTGAAAACAAATACGTAGAGATAGAATTCACGGGTCCAAAAACTTTACCTTTGATTTTCTCAAAACAACACTTTTCGAGATAGCCCCCTTGTGCTTAAAAGTGACCAATTGACAGTGCAGGTTCAGAAGCCTTCATGACACGACTGACCATACACCTATAAGTAAGTCACAAACATACATCATCGTGAAAAGCTTTCACTAGGGGAGGTGGGGGGGTGAAGCTTTCAAGACTGAATTTGGGACCAGAGTATAAAAACAATCTATACTATATATAATTATGGACCACAGTATTCCTGTGAATGGTATATACAGAGGTCTTCGTTGAAGCGAACAGTTATGTCCTGTAATGTCTTTTTGTGTTATATAATAAAGTGTAATGTTACACATATCATTGTAAGACTAAACTGTAAGCGGAGATCAATAAAGTTGTCTTTTCTTTCTTTGTTTTGCAATGGCAGTGGTATAAAAGAGCAGCAACATTATAATAATGATGAAAAAAACAAAAACCCTCACTTGAACCTCCAGATCATTTAATGATCCAAAAAACTTAAGTGTGTAAAACACTGCTTACAGACTGAACTATGACAACAGAGTGAATAAACATAAGAGACAAAGGAATATTTGACGAAAGAGAAAAGACAGATAGATCGACATTTACTAAAGTAGTAAAAACAAACACAAAAAAATAAGGCAATACTGTATTCACAGAAGTCACTCAAAAATATTATTGCTTAATTTAATGTTTGGCAAAAAGTAAAATGATACACCAGCATAAATTAGATCAGTCTTAACCCTTTGAGCCCTGAGCTCCTGAGGCTACCGTGCCCCTCTGTCTGAGCTCCTCAGCGATATATTACTAACATTCATTTGATCGTCCAAATCCCATTCCATATATCCTACTCAGGGCAATCCTTGTCATTACCAGCATCTAATTCAGAAAGACCTTAAAAATAATCAATAACGTCTTGTGTAGTAAACGCTGTTTTCTGTATACGTTTTGTCTCACATGGGCCGGGTCAGGGATAGGGTCTCGCTCACCGCTGTACCAGTGGCAAGGCATACGGGCAGTTTTATGTGCCACCGGGGCTCAAAAGGTTAACACATTTTTTACACAAAGAATCTTGTGAATTAGCTAGTCGCAAACTTCGGCCATGCTGCCTGCATGAAAATATGGCTGGGAATAGATGGTAAAACATTTCTTGAGGAGCATATTCATAATCTTTGACAAAACATCATACGAGGAGGAGAACAAGGCTTGCAATATCAGTAACGAGCATGCAAACAAGAATGCACATTCCTGCTTGTCTCTACACTGAAAGTGAGAAAAGACTAAGAAACTACAACTTGGACAAGATAAGAAAACACTTTTTGAAACAGACCATTATCAAAGACAAAAAATTTCCTCTATAAGAAAGTGATAGTCAATTGAAAAGTAAGTGAGTACGTTCCGAGTATGTAAATACACTCCATCATGAATGTGTGCGCCGACAGTGAAAAAATGAATGAGAACAAAATTTGTTTTTTACAATAGCAAGAGGACACAATCATCTGTTTTCTAATTATTCATACATGTGGACGGAAAAAGCAGAAAAGAAACCCACTTGACAGTCCAGTAAACCAAAATTACAGTTGTGAGCAAATAATTTGACTTCAAGACGGGATCCTACCAAACTTAATCTTCTTTAAGTTTCAGACAAAAAGAGAAGAAAAGAACCAGATTTATACACCAGTTTTTAATATACCTAAAATTCATAATACAGAATTCCTACAAAGACCACATAGCAAATGCATCAGGCTTGATACAAATTACACATTTGCTTGGTATCACATTACAGAGCAATATGTTATGGCAAGTCCACCATTCAAGACCACGCATTCTTGTCGTAGAAAAGTATAAATTTCCAGTCAGTTATTGTCACATGCATGTAGCAACTGTTCTACACAGACAACATTCAAATAAAAGATAGGTGAAGTAACAAACAGAAAAAAAAGTTGTCACTACTCTCGTCTTCAAGAACACAAAATATCAAAAGATTTCCATCCCAAATGTACACATTAAGAGTGTCTTGCGGCTTTGTGTCTGGAAAACAGCCAAGTTCATTCTATGATGTCATATATATCTAACCATTTGACCAAAAGTAATTACTTGCCACCCCTTACTGAGAAGTAAACGAAAACATTCAAAAATCAGTGTTGTAAAAAAACTGGTTAAACCAAGAAAAGATTTTTTAAAAACAAAAACACAAAGGGAAAAAATGAACAATGATAAGATTCCAAATACCATACTGAAAGAAAAAGTTACTATTGAACACATTTTTGTCATAAATAAAAATTTCATAACAAAAATAATAGTAAGAGGACCTGATTCTTCGATGTCACAATACCTCACATAATGCTTTATAAATCACCTCTCTTCTATCAGTAGCAAACAGGCTTTTGCTATTTGCTAATGAAAGAATGACATGGAATGCATTACTTATGTTACTGAACACTCCACCAAAAAAAAAATTGACAAAAATAACAAAATTGTCTTAGCAAAAGTAAACATTAGCATCAAGATCAACATTGCACAAGCATCACCCAGGCACTTTCCATTACTTTTTCACTCTCAATTCCAAAATTCATTGTCACTCTAACCAGATATACACCGACAGTCCATCCATCAAAGGATGCAGCGATACTGCACTGACATAATCAGACCTCGACTTTATTCAAGCTACAGCACCCAAAATACAAAAAAAACCATTTCTCACACAAACACTGGAATCACATTCTTTCAAAGCCTTACTCATTTGGCCACCAAACCCAGTTAACATTTGTACATGTCACTTCATGATGTTCGATACCATGAAAAGCCAATAGATGCTGCAGCAGCAGCCAGACTGCCAGCCACCAAAATCCACTTCATCACCTGCAAAATGAAAGAAAAGAAAATATTCTTTGAAGAAACAAGAGGCACATTTGAAAAAGATATCTTTATGACTGTCATTTTACATTTTCTAAACCCCAAAGACTACTACAGTTGTATTGGGACAAAGATGAAGATGTACAAGAATGTATTAGCACAATGACACTGCAGCACATTACACCATGGCTCAGAAACCCACATTCCATATATTTTTCTTTAAAATGTTATGTAACAGAACATTTACCTGTTCATCATGCTTCTTTTTTAAACTCCTATCGGTCAAAACGACAAGCCCCATGTCATTTCCGTTTGCCCTGTTCCACCAGAACGACACAGAGCAAGTCATGTACACACACACCTTAATCAAATACACATTTCTGTCCAGTCCTCCAAAATCCATGCTTATAACAGGGGGCAAGTTTTAAAAAGACATAATGATACTTCCTTTTTTTTAAAGAGAATTCAGTAGCAGCTTAATATGTCGGTCACAATTTTGGATGTAGAATCTGAGTCAAAATCAAGATTGTTGATCAAATTCCTCTGCAATACACCTATGATTTTTGCCTTCAATCTCACTATCTGCTTTCCCAGTGTTGCTGATAGTTAATTTTTTTTGGGCGTGGTGAAAAAGGCAGATCTAGATCCAAAATTGGTGGTGATACAGAAACTTACACAATGTCTAAATGAAGTGCAGTCTTTATTCTGGCTGTTCATGAAAATCCATTACGTTAGTTCTGACAGATAGAGAAATTTAACCACTTATAACAGAAATAACATCAAATCTGCACACCAGCCTTCTGAGGTTGAGAAAAACATAAAACCAAGCTTCTCACCATCCATATAAACATGACTTCATGGCTTACACAAGCTTCTTCAAATGAACAAGGAAACAACTCTGCAATGCAGTCCAACAGAATCTTTTGCAAGTTGAAGATTTATAAAAAATTTTAACTGCAGATTATAAAAGAAAAGAAACAGGATAAGGCTCAAGAAGTCTTCATCATGAACAGTAAAGTCAGTAAGTGGAGTATTCTGCATTCACAGGTCAACTTTGCAAAACATTAAATTCCACAACTTGTGCCACATTCAATATAGTGCTCAACTCTGAAATGATCTAAAGTGTGTTGATGGGAGCATAAAAAACACTTATATTCAATTCAAATTCAATATTGTGGAAAGCACATTCCAATAACTTTTCACCCCATACTCCCTCAAAGAAATCTGTGAATGGCACTCACCCCATTTGATTTTTTCTGTTGTGTCTTTCCAGGAGTAAAGGGATTTTCCCCAGGTTTAACTCCCAGCATCCGTTGATACAGCTCCTTCTCTGATTCAGACTCCTTGCTTTTCCGCCGTGCCAAATTGAGAACTTCCTGGTGTAACATTTTAGATTCTGGGTCCAGTTTGATCCCTTTCCTGAGATATTCCAGTGCTTTGTCAACTTCGTTTTTAGCACTGTAGGCCTGAAAATAATTTTAAAAAGAGACAAGAGAAATCTATAACTTTTCATCCAGGAGCAGACTACCCACATCTGAAAGCAAAATGCACTGTTAAAAAAAAAAAATCAAACACATTGTGACATACAATGAAGGACAAGATATCAAAATGGTTTTACTAGCTACTTCTTTTATTAGAAGCAACTATAAGAAGTACTTCAGGATCAGTTTTAGTTTTAGTAACAGTTTTACAGTACTTGCAATAAAATAAGGTCATATATGTGTCGAAGATTAGAAGTCTTAAAAGGGAGTAACAAACACAAAAAAGAAAGAGAGATAAGGACGATAGACCCGCCAACCACCCATACTTCAGGATCAGCTAGATAAGTTATTTTCAAAATATGGTGATGTTATAATAAAAGAGTAAGATATCACAAAGCATAATGACGCCATAGACAATTTTTGACAAACCCCACTTGGCAGAAAGAAATTTATCAGAAAAGTAAGTCGTAACTCAGCCAATGTTAGTGTCAATCTAAAACCAGTACATTCAGAGTGAGTCTACTTCAAAGAGCCATCTGCAAAAACCTGTAAAATTGTCCACCAAGACTTGCAGACAAACAAAGCACTGTGGGTCAATAGTTTAAACAGACAGCATGTCTCCTAGGCTAAGTACAAAAACGTAGTTCAATCCTGGGTTCCTGGAAGAGCTATCGGCCAATAACTTTGAGTTTCCTTTTTAGGTGTTTCACACTCTCGATCCCTGGGTAAATGGGACTGAGAACCAAACCTTGTTAAAATGAGGACAAGAAACTCACAGGTGCCCTGCACATTTTGCGAATGTGCAAGAAATCTTGGCAGTATTAATCCATACTTAAAAACTTCGATAATAAAGATGGCCTTTATAAAACAGCATAGAGGCGTCCAAAAAATTGCCATAAACATGAAAAATTCATTACAATGTGATTTGAATAAAATACAGTCATCCTGAAACCTCGCAAAGGCATATATGCGAGCTATAAACTCTCATCACTAAGGAAAGGAAAGGTACTTGAATATTGCGTAGGCCTACTATCTGTAGTTGGTTCCTCTTGCTCCTAAATTCAAGGGGTAGTAACCACAAAAAGTCAATAAAAAGTAAAACCAATATCAGCATTGTTCAAACAAATACAATTTCACTGCTCTTTTACAATTGCATTAAACATAGAAAACATTCATACTTACTTTCCCGAGTCTAAATAATGCTTTCACATTATCTTCTTGTGCAGAGAGAACCTTCTCACACGATCGAATGGCAGCGTCTATAGCACTGATCTGTTCAAGAAAGTATATAGAAAAAAAATAACAATGGGATCCAAAACATATCTTGATAATAATAATAATATATAGATGCAAAGAGTTGATCAGGTTTGATGATTTTCTTCTGACGTAAAGCATTCGTACATAGTCTGATGTGTTACACTAAGGCTCATTCAATATAATACATGAATTAGAGAAAAACTTCCACTTTCTTTACTCAGGTGATGCATCCTATACAATCACAAAAAGTGTGTACATAACAAACAAAAAAACCTCCAATGCAACCAACATTTCTAATAGGTGATATTTTTCCCACTATCATATCTTTACTATAACAGACATGACTCCTACAAGCCTCCAGTATGAAGAAAGAACATACACACAGATTCATAACATCTGAAAATAAGTAATAACGTTTGGGTTTTTTTACTATTCATCAAAAGTCCGTAATCAGGTCAAACAATCAAATACGATATTAACAATAGCAACATTTTTTTCTTCAGTTCAACTGCTACATAGCCCAGAAAGATCAACAAGGACTGTTCATTTTTTTATTTACCAAATAATTTTCGCTTCTCATCTTCCCATTCATAAACTAGTAGTGTTGAAAACACTGTGATCCCATCTGAACCATGACATGTCACATCAAAGCCACGAAGGTCACAGAGTCAGACAGGTAAAGGAACATCAGAAAAAACAGAAAAAGTGAAAACATATAAGTACAATGCAACCAGACCTTGAGCTGGCAAGCTGCCATGTTATTGTAGCATTTGACCCATGACTCTGACAGAGTAGACCTTGCCTCGTCATCTAGTCCAGCATTCAAATCTGAGTCATCTAAAATCTTCACAGCCCTGAAGAAGACATAAAAACAATGATCAAACAAGATTTCATATTAAAGGATCACTTTCGGAAGATTGCATTTAAAGAAATGAAACATTTTTCAATCTAGAAGAGGTAATCATATCTCAGATTGAGTAAAGGGTTTCTGCTATTTATCAAACTTTTAAAATTATTCTACAAAGAGCAACACTTTTCAAAAGATGACACTGGAATACCACAAAAACAGTTCATTCATACTTTGTCACTGTTATTTTTCACCCAATTACCATGTCTTCTTTTCAAATATCAAATGATACCATTTAGGTAGTTTCTCAATAACTCAAGCTAAAAAACTTTTCGCTTACACAACAATGCCCCACTTCATTAACCATTTTAAACTCAAATTATTTTCCTAGGAATGATAAAACTACAAAGCAACAATAACAAACTGTAAAATATCAAGAAACAGAGAAACAATTAGTTCACAATTTCTACATAGAAGTTATCACAGACTTTATGTAACCACAGGGAAACTGAAAATATCTGCGAGGAATAAGCATAATATGAGTTTTTCCTGGTACCATAACTAGCCCCTGTACGGCATGCTTTGAAAGAGGTAATTGACCTCTTTTGTCTTCCCCAAATACCGAGAGAGCAAAATCATTATTTCACATCGCATTTATAACGGTACTTTTTAAAATGTAAACAGGTCATAATATACAAAACTGTAAACTACATACTTGCTGTATGAGCTGATAGCACCAGTATAATCCTGTCTTCCATATAAATAGTTGCCTCGCTCCCGTTTAGCTTCTCTGCAGAAAGATAAAAGCCACTATACATGATTACAAAAGCAACTGTCATTTCAGTAAAAGAACTATTTCAGTTTTTAGTTTAGTAAAGAGTTTTACGGTACTTGCAAGGTCATATAAGTGCCGAAGATTAGAGGTGTTACAAGAAAGTAACAACAAACATAAAAAAGAAGGAGGAGAGATAAGGATGATAAATGCTTAAGAGGAAAGAAGGAGCAAACGCCAACCACCCACTATTTCAGTTTTTTCACACGGTCCTACAAGTTTAATAGAAAAATTAAAACCCAATGTTGTCTTCAAAAGTACACCACTGCCAAGTATAAAAATATAAGCAGGCCCTAATTCAGTTAAATTTACTTCATTTTTTTTAAAAGTTCAAGCACCTTCAAGCTATCTTCAAATGAAAAAAAAAAAATGAGAGCACACTTGTTCTGACTTCAGGTTAATATCGTAAAATACTGAAATAATCAATTTTGAGGCAGGGGAAACTCAGGCCAGTAGTCAGGGCTACGAAGACAGAACAAAGAAAGAATAGAGAGAAAGTAGGAAATAAGGTGAACCACTTAAAGTAAATAAATGTGCTAAAACAATGCATTTAATGCTCTAAATAAACAAAACAACAACACTTTGACAAGCACAAAATCCAGCACAACTATCTGTTATATGGCACTAAATGTCAAAAGTTTTAGTTCTTAAGACTTACCCCATTGAAAGACGTTTTTCAGTACCAAGAGATGAGAGCTCTTGCTCAGGTTGAACATTAATCAGTTCAATAGTATAGGTGATGCTTGCATCTTTAGGAATGTCTGGATCTCTGGGAACATAACAATCATGTCTTCCATTCAAGACTCCATCTTTCTCCAAAGTGAGAGTACAAAATAATTTAAGTTGTCAATCCTAACACAAGAAGACAAGTATCCACTGTTTATAAACAATTACAGATTATTCAAAAAAGTTATTAAACTTAATAAGTGCTGCCGGAAACAAAATATAGTTAACTTTACTTAACCCCTCCTAAACTACCCTCACACTCTTCTTTCTCAACCTGACAACCATATTCTATCTATTTCTTTATTTAATAAATTCAGCTAAACTCCAATTACCCCCATCCAATCAAAAAGAATGAGTATAACCTACCTATCCACAGTGACCCACTAGTTAATCCAGACATTCATACAATCACATTTCAAGGAAGGGTAACATTAATTGTCCTTAGTTCATCCTACCAAACTCTCAGCTTTGACCATATGTTCTGTCTGGACCAAACTGACACAATGTCCATGGACATCCTCCACCGACATAAATTATGTCATGTGTTCACATGATTGCCACAGCAACACATCCCCATCCTTTCTTCATAATTAAAACAACTTTCACACGCACATGTGTGACTGTCACCACTCTTGGTCTTCCTTCCCTTCTGCACAAATTTATTTGCACCACTTTCCAATTCCACATGCTCCACCCCAAATCACACGTTTACATGTATACAGGCACCATCTTCTAGCCTTCAGCCCCTAACTTTGCCTGTTTGCCACTAAGCTTAGGTCAACAACACCACAACATAAGCACAGGTCTTAACTGCTTTTTGAAGAAGAGGCATTCCAACCGTGAGGAGATAATCACAAGGGGGGGGGGGGATAATTCGGTGAATTACCATAGTACATAGTATATCCTTTATAATTTCCCTTGAATCATAATGCTGAAACATCTGAGGTCCTCAACTATATTATTTTTTACTTCTCTACAATTTCAAGTTAACCAGAGAGCACTAGGCTACACAACCAACATCAATTTCAATAATAAGGAATAAGTAGTGTGTTGGTGCAAAAATATTTAAATCTGTAACATATCCTGAACACAACAGTTTCTTGTGAAAATGTCTTGATTTATCCTCAAGATTTCTCCGGTATATTCCATGCCTTGCAGAGAATGAAATTTATTCTGCAACACACAGCATTTTAAAGGTCACATATCTTTTTCAGTTAATTTTAAAATAAACATACTTATACTCAATTTCAAAACAACATTTTGTCAGAAAATAAAAAGAGGTTGAGTACATATATGCACATGTGCTTAGCATGCTTGGGCGGGGGGGGGGGGGGGGAGTCTAAGATAAAATAGAAACAACATAAAAGCACGGGAACACACCGGCCAAGGGGTCCATAAGCATATCTTGCATCAGTAAACAGTTCGCATTTCTCTCCAACATCCATCAATGCCACTGCCAGGTCAAAAGCTGTGAAAGTAACAGAAGTATTTCTTTGATACTATAATTATAGAAAAGTATGCAGTATAAGACAACAGAGCGAGATAAAGCTGGCAGAACATTGCTCTGAGAAAGCGAGAAAAAGGGAACTTTTTTCAAAGAGAAGATTTACTAAGCCAAACATGAAAATCAGAAAAACTTTTCAAAAGAAATAAAACAAGCAATCTAAATGCAAAACAGATTTTCCTTCAAAACATGACCAACATTGATCACTTTATCAATGATATGATCTTACACACAATATCCCTATAAAATACTTTTGAAAAAAAATATATTATTATGTTGAAAAGCACACAGTAGTCAGTATCTTTGCCTCCATTTAATGAGATCAAAAGAAATAGGCTACAAGTATTCAAAAAATTATAAACAATTTCACTTGTGACTATTCCATTCATTGATATGACTATAGCAGACTGCTAAAATGAGTATTAAGCACAAGAAGAAAATCTAGGTCAAATTTAAAAGAAATAATATAAAAGCTACTCACTAACGGTTGTAAAAAATGTTGAAAGATTGTAATCACATGAAAGATTGTAATCACATGAAAGATTGTAATCACATGAAAGATTGTAATCACATGAAAGAAGAATCTATATTAAGACACAGAACAAAGACTTGAAAAGACAAACATGTTCATTCCATTAGTTCCTAAGCTGTACTCACCTAAAATAACATCACCATCGTTGAGAATGAAGGTGAAATCTTGCACATCCACATGAGTTCCATTTTCTAAAACTCCATCAACTCTTATGGTTACTGTATCACCATTTGTAGGTCTGGTGTCTTCCTTACCAGGCACTAATACCTGTACACAACAAAAGTTTAGTTTAGTTTTAGTAAGTGTTTTACAGCACTTGCAACACAATAAGGTTGTTTTATTATATTATAAGTGACGAAGATTAGATTTTTGTTTTAGTAGAGGTTTTATGGCGCTCGCAACTGCATAAGGTCATAAGAGCCCCACAAGACTAGAGGTGCTACAAGAGAGTAACAAACATAAAAAAGGAGGGGAGACAAGGACGATAGATGTTTGATAGGATAGAAGAAGCAAACCACACCAGAGCACCCGTCAACCACCCACCGAAGATTAGAGGTGTTACAAGAGAGTAACAAACACAAAAAAGGAGGAGAGGTAAAGTCGATAGATGTTTGACAGGAAAGAAGAAGTAAACCTCACCAGAGCACCTGCCAACCACCCACACACAACAAAAGTGAGTACAACTGTTAGTTAGAAAAGAAGACAACAGTTCAGCTGTATTATGACATGAAACTTTCAGTAAGACCAGAATTATTACAAATAGAAAACACTGTTCACAAAGTTGTCACACCAGCATCTCCCTGATCACAACACAACCCATCAAACCTTTGGAAAAACAAGAGGCAGGCTTTCAAACAATGTTAAAATGTTCTTTATAGATCATTTTATACCAAAGTCCTTTGTTTAGAACTTTAAGCCAGATTTCAACTGCAAGTGCCCTAAAACTTAGTAAACTAAGATAACTAAGCCACATTTACATTTCAGTGAAATTTAAAGGGTGCTGGTGCTAAAATCAACAACCATATGTCCTGTCTCTTGTTCATGACAAAACCAACAGGGCTGTTTGAATTTTCAAAAATTGGGAGAACAATTTATTCTTAGCATACTCAACAAAAGAAAAGAGAAAGCAATATGCATCAGTTTTTCTTTACAATACATACTTTTTTCTTGAGGAACCCATTTCCTAAAATATCCATACTGCCATCTTTCTCCTCATCATCCACAACAGAGTCTTTACTCTCCGAACCTGTTAGGTTTTCACCAACAGTATCCTCACTTCCTGGCACAATCTGTTTATCCCCATCTGGACTGGGCGTGCTCACAGCACTATCAGAGTTGAATCCAGTGTCATGTGATGTTGATGGGGCAACTGTAGAGTCACTTGTTCCTTTTTTTGCACTTTTGTCTGGCCATATTAAGTCTGGCATACTGTCACTATTTTTCAAATCTGAGCTCTCTGAAGGGTCATCATCCAGTGAATCAGTAATAAGTGAATCTTCTTCTTTTTCTTGTGTGTCCCTTGGCACTGATGGCGTTGAGGTCATGCCATTCTCTGACTTTTCATCTTGAATGCTATCTTTTGTTGTCTCCATTTTTGCACACCTGAAAAATAATTATCATTTGCTCAAGAAGCATATTTAAATAAAATTCTATCTAAAGATGCTCAACACTAATATGGTATTCTTTTTTACACATGTTGAAAAAGGTGTTCTATCATATTGCAACATCTCTACTCTCAACACATGCTCTGTTAATCTCCTGAAATGATTATGGTAGTGAAACTAGTAGCCTGCCCTGCTGTTTTGATATATATATATATATATATATATATATATATATACTAAAACGAAAATGTGTCCACACACCATTTTTTAGAAACACATTTTACTATTCTAATTTTTTGTTTTTAATGGTTCTTTCTTTCAAGCAATACCCTCTGAAATTTCAAAACATATCCAGAACTTTCAAGATTTTAGAAGTTCCAGATATTTCCAACAAAGTGACAACCCTGTTATATTTACACACCTATGAATATCAGACAGCATAGAATAGAGCTACGGAGTTAGCTTGACATTATAAAGAACTTTTTGGCACAAATGAGATTTTGATACACATGTACTTAAAGCGCAAGGTTTATCTTACAAACCTTTACTTTACAGACTCTCAGAGATGAACACTGATTAATGGAAAGATCAAGAGACAAAATAACATTGAATTATTTTTTAAACAAGTAAAAATTGAAAAAGTTCTGTTTATCAATAAAATAATGTCTTTGTTTGAAAAAAAAAGCACCAGGCACCAGGGAGTTCACCAAAGTCGCATTTTGTTTAAAAAGATTGTTTTCTTCGTTAATCAATACTCCCCAGCCCAATGTCATAATGGCAATTTATAAAGTTTGCCAATTTTTTCAAAACTAGATCAAGAACAACCAAAGAGTTATATACACAGGGAAAAGACACTGCAAAGGCCTTATTATCTATTATTTATCTTGTACTGGTAAGTATTTGGGGTTTTTTTTTTCAGTCATCCAAGATCTTAATTGGCTTTCTATCATGACTCCAAAAATAAAATAGAAAGCTTCCACAGTTTGACATGAACATTAACACCTTCAAATAATGGCCTACAACAACAGCAGAAAGTAGCAAGCTCATAAGCAACTCCCTGAAACACATTCCCAGAATTCAATGAAACAAATAGAAACCGAAACTGAAAGACATATTAAACTTCACTGTATCCATCAACCTACACTTTGCCCCTAATGTGACAGACCTTAACATGTACAACTTTGAAGACTCAGCAGAGGCAACTGGTTTCATGTTTAACAATAAATCATAATAGATTGACTGACATAAAATACTTGAGACTTCCAGCCAAGCCAAAGACCTGTCCTCAAAGCACTAAACAACTTTATTCTATCAGATAGCAAAAGAAAAAAGGCTGCTCCCTACGCCATTGGTGATTATTAATGTCGATGCCAGTTCTTCCAACTTATATTTGACTTTAAACTAAAATTTTGCCGTCATTGTTTCTTTGTTTCTTTCTGATTCATAACAGTAAAGACAAAATAGACTTTAATAATTAATATGGCCAATGTGCAGAGTATGCTGTAGCAGGGTCACATATTTTTTACCCAAAATAATGTGGTAAACCTACGCACTGAGAATCATTTATAATGTAGGTGTTTTTTACACTCCTATCAACACAATTTAGACCATTTAGATGGAGGAAAGAGTCTCTGTAGTGAGACAACATGTCGGTGAACACCATATATTGTGTTTTTTTGGCTTTTTGGCTAGCCGCCTTCAAATCAACACAGTGGGTTATTTTAATGTGGATTAATATTGGTTTGGATTTTCTTGAAACTGAATGAAAACTATTATTAGCAATTAACCTCTTGCCCAATCTCCAGCAATACCCAGCAAAGATGAAAAGGTACTTCAAAATCAGTTGCTTTTTATTTTAATGCAACTGAGTAACAATAACTGGATGGTGACAAACGCTGAAAGAAAGAACTTATGACTTATGATAAAAGGCTAACTGTGAGGACATCCAGTCCATATAAACAAAAATGTCAGGTAAATTTTTACTTTACAGTACTCCTGCACACAGATGCACTGTTTCGGAGTCTAACTGCAGTATTTTTTGCTGAGGTCACACATATGACCACTAAAACTGTCACAATACAAATCAATTACAGTCAAGCTGCTATGATGGAAACCTGTACAAACGGCCACATATACCATTTCCCCCCTTGCGTTTCTTCTATAATTTAAATGTGTGTAAAACGGTTGTCAGTCCAACAAGGCCGCGGTCACCTTGTTTTATCAACCCAGTGCCAAATTTATCTGTCTGACACAGCCAGGCATCTCTCATCCCCCAATGCTTTGTCATAAATTTTGAATCAGCCCCAGACGCTGTGGACAAGTCATCATAATCCATTCACCTGTCGTTATTGTTAGTCCCTCCAATGAATGTTTACCCAAGTTGACAAATGGGTAACAAATTTTCAGCTGCTGGTGAGGGAAGCATGTGATCCGTCACAATCTATAAGCCTCATCCACAACTCATACTCAGATCATAGGTGATGTGACTGGTCACTGTTATATTTACCTAATCTGTAACTAAGTACAATGGGCGCTTACATGAACTTGTGACAGAAGCGTCGCTCGTTCTCCAAGTGGTGGCGACCCAGTATTAGTTTTACCATGGCACTCGGTTTTCCCCATTTGACATATTTTGTTTATTTTACCCTTGCACAAAATCAGCAGCAAAAAAGCTCCCCAAAAAAAGAATATTTTACATTCCCCCCCCCCCCCCCCTTTTTTTTTTCTAAAAAGAAAACAAAAACCCTTTTGAACTAGCCTTACAGTAATCCTGAGCCTGTGATCAGCCCCGGTCTGGACTTCAGAAGGGAATGGTACGCCCCTCCCAAGTTTTATTGGGGGGGGGGGGGGATTGGTTGGGAGTGGGGGGGCATGCCCCCCTAAACCCCCAAGACACAGAAAGTACTATGACTACGCAATTAGGCGGAGTGTAATTTAGTTCAATTTAAGTATAAAGGCCAACAAATATTTCAAAAGCTATTTATTACGAATGAATATAAAGTCAGCATCATGTATTGGGAAAAGGAAAAAAAAAATCGACAAGAAAAGGGCTGCACAATAACTGAGCACGAGACGGAAGTGAAAGTAAAATAATACTAAATGACAAAATGTTAACAAAAAGTAACAAAGTCAAAGTACGTCCATAAACTAAACTAGATCTAGATCTAGAATCTAGAGTTCTAGATTCTATATCAACAAGTAAAACTCAAAAGTCAATGCAACTTTAAATGGTAGGCCTACTGGTGAAAGAGTAAAAGTAAGTAGGCCCAGGACCTAGGCCTACGGTGTGAAAACTAATCTAGATCTATATAATTATCTGGATCTATGTCCTAATCCGATATTGGAGGGGGGGGGGGGGGTGTGTGAACTGATTGTGTGGTCGTGGAGTCGTGATGAGAGGACAATAAAAAAAAGGCCAGCTCTATTTCTCTGAATGTTCGGGAAAATAAACTTGGACTCTATTTCTTCGAACGGTTTCCATTCTCGAGGTTTTTTTTGGTTTATTTGCGAATGGAGTGGCCCGTGTGTGTGTGTGTGTGTGTGTGTGTGTGTGTTTGCATGTGTGTGTGTGTGTGTGTGTGTGTGTGTGTGTGTGTGTGTGTGTGTGTGTGTGTGTGTGCGTGTGCGTGTGCGTGTGCGTGTGTGTGTGTGTGTGTGTGTGTGTGCACCCGCGTGTGTGTGTGTGTGTGTGTGTGTGTGTGCACCCGCGTGTGTGTGTGTGTGTGTGTGTGTGTGTGTACCCGCGTGTGTGTGTGTATGTAGGTGTGTGGTGTGAGTGCTTGTGTGAGGTGTGAACAGCGGGGCGGGGGCGTGGAGGGATTTTTTTTGTGATTTAGTTTTTGCTTTAGGGGTGACTAAATGCAAAATAGGTTACTTCCAAAGTCGAGCAGTCTTGCTTTCTTGCAGTACCTTTGAAAGGCATTGCCCCAACTACAATTGAAGTATCTGAATAATGAGACAACTAAAAATCTCTAGCTGTAGAAATGAAATTCGATGCAAAAAAATGTTTCTTCATAGTCTTCGAAGAATAGCAGAATGAAAGATGACGCCGAACTCTTGCAACTAACCAAGGGTAAATTTTTACTTTCACTCCCCCACACAGATGTACTGCTTCGGGGGGTCAAACTGCAGTTATACTGTTTGCTGTAGATCACACATAAAGCCACCAAAACTGTCGCAAATCAATTATTTTCAAGAAAATTTCAAATCTAGGCTAGATTTAACTGCAAAATATCAAATTATGGGTTAAAACACGGGCAAGCCCCCCCTGTAACCCCCCAGATTTTCTTTTACCCCAGTGAGGCAGGGCCCCCGATTGGTCTAAAGCATGTCTATCTCTATTAAGAACAATAAAATATTTCAAAAACTATTAATTTGCGACGGAAATGAAGTTGATTTTCGTATACAGCGCATCCACATTTAGTAGAAAATAAACAACGGGTAGCTAAAAGTGAGACGGGAGGGAAAGTAAAAAAATACCTAACCAACAAAACTCGAGAACGGAACCGTTCGGACAAATAGAGTTCGAGTTTATTATCCCGAGCGTTCGGAGAAATAGAGTTCGAGTTTATTTTCCCGAGCGTTTGGAGAAATAGATCTAGATTTCTAGATCTAGTCACTTCGTAATTTTTTAAAAAAAGAACAAAGCATACAGCATGGATTTTTTTTTCCCAAAGTGATTATTTCTCCGAACATTCGGGAATATAAAGTTGAACTCTATTTCTCCGAACGGTTTCCGATCTCGATATTTTTTGGTTATATTTGCGAGATTTAGGCGTCATCCTTTTATTCTGCCATTCTGCCAGGACTGGGAAGAAGCATTTTTTTCATCGAATTCAATTTCTAGAGCTAGAGATTTGTAAATGTCTCAATATTCAGATACTTCAGTTGTGGTTGGGGCAACGTTCCCAGACTATACTTCATTTGAAAAAGCCTTCAAAAGGTACGGCGAGAAAACAAGACTGCTCGACCTTGGCAGTAACCTATTTTGCACATTTAGTCACCCAGCAAAATGTTTTTTACAAAATCCCTCCACGCCGCCGCCCCCCCCCAGTTCACACCTTACACACACACACACAGGCCACTCAATTCGCTTATTGTCAATATCTCGAGAACTGAAACCGTTCGGAGAAATAGAGTTCAAGTTTATTTTTCCGAACATTCGGAGAAATAGAGCCAGCCTTTTTTTTTTTTTTCGAACTAGCTATGCATACGGTTCCCGTACGCATAGCATCGAGGCTATGGCCGCTATGTGTATGGCCCTCCACTTCACATAATAAGCTAGGCTTTGTAGGCGGCACATAAACTATCAAACCGGACACTAAAAGTGGACAAACTTAAACCCTCGAAGCCCGCAGGCCCTTTATAAAGGACGTGAGCCAGGCTACCCGGGAAGCGCGCAGGCTTAGGGATGACCTACTTCGATTGGGAAGCCAGCAGCTGTAAAGGGCATAAATGCTGACCTTTTTTCAATGGAAAATTTCAGCATTCCTGATATGGAAATGACGTAGTAAATTACAGGTCAAAGTTATAAATAGCGACCAATGACTTTGCAAATTATCTTGACCTCGTAGAGCGTCTCTTGGCCAAAGATCGTACATAATAAAATAGTTCACTCAGCCAAAAAGGTGTCCGTGGAAGTCCGCATATTGGTTCAGATGACGTTGCAGTCTTTGTTTTGAAGCTCTCTTTCGTTTCACCAGAAGAAGAATAGGAATAGTACAGTTAGTTTCACTTTTATGATATATTTTCATACAAGTAGGGTAACTCTGATTGCAAAGTCCGCACTTTTTCGAAGAGGGCGCCACCGAATATTGAGGACCCTTTTTTAATTGGCTCATAGAGGAGTGAACTATCTTGTTATACATGACCTTTGTGACATTTTGTCTTAGCCAAGATATTGATTGATAAAGTGACGCTGTCCAGTTGAACGATTATCAAGGCCGTGAGCATACTTCTCTAAATCTAAGGGCCGTACGAAGGTAGGGCCGTACGCATTAGGGCCGTAGGCATAGCTATGAG